GGGTCTGGTCGTAGGACTGGTCCTCGGGCTACGATACAGCAGCAGTAATAGTAACAGGTAAGTCCTTCTTATTTTTTCCCTTCCCTTTCTTATAGCCCCGCTAGGCAATTCTCGCGTTGAGGTCGACGACATCAACTCAGTTTTTCTTCATCAACAGTTCCTCTCCCGCCTCCGGAACCCCCGAAACCCAACAACTCCCCGTCCTCTTCCCGGCGGGCTCCTACTCCTTCGAGACGGCGCTCGCCAACGTCAGCACCGCCTGCACCACCAACCCGTCCGCCTTCCGCTGCTACCCCTACACCCTCTACAACGCCTCGCACTCGGCGTCGGCGGCCACCTTCACCTGGATCATCAGCGAGACGGCGCCCAGCACCTTCACCATCTCCTCCTCGGCGAACCCGTTCGCCCCGCAGTTCGCCGGCGTGGCCCTCGGCCTGCTCGACGCGAACCAGCCCTCGGAGCGCCTGATCTTCTCGGTTGCCCTGGGCAACATCACCGTCACGCCGCAGGGCCCGCTGGCGGGAGGCGACCAGCAGGACGCGGCCGCGACCCGCTGCTACTACGGCGACACCGTGCTCAGCGCCACCATCTGGACCCGCCGCGCCGCCCAGTATCCCGACGACGGCCTCGACACCGACGTCGATAACGCCGGGAACGGCACGCACACGAGCCAGGACTTCGATCCCTGGCCCTACGGCGTCGAGGTCCGCCAGCTGTCGGGACCGGGCGGTCCGGACTGCAGGGACCTCGCGGGGAATCCCGTGGGGGATTTCGCCGTGCCCGGTGGTGCGGGTGGAGAATGCGGGTGTTGGTATGCTAATATCGGGCTCAGTTGATAATGACGCCCTTATAAATTCTTATCATCAGATTTGGTGGTGCATATTGGAGGTTGGGGGCAAGGCAAGGCGCTTCATGGTGTTCTTGGCTATCTTATCATAAATTGGCGCTGGGGATGGATGGATACCTAAGCTTTTTGATGATTGCTCTTGTTGAGGCTGTGTTTACGCAGCAAGGCCCTCCTTTTTTTGTGTGATTTTCTTCTTCCTTTTTCATGGCGCTTTCTGGACAGGAGTCAGGCGTCGGGGTTTCAGAATCTACATACAGAAAGCCATAAAATACCTAGGTAGCTAGGTATGTAGGTGGCCAGTACGTTGCGTCCGTGCTTATAATAACGTTATTTGTTAGCCTCGAGGGAAGCCTTGTCATATATGAAGTCTAGACTGGCTGTGATGCGGCGAGGGTATCGACCTAGGTGCATATGTATCCTTCTCGAAAGGGGCGCAGGTGATACGAATGTGGCAAACCCCATTCTCACATATCGAGACTGGATTCATATACTCGGAAGCTATACAGTAAGTACACTGACAATAGAAACCATTTATCAGATCGCACCCCACGATTTCATTCGACAGCGTTCGCCCAGCAAGACGTGAATATTGTGTCAGCTCGACTCTCCGGCACTTCCGGCCCCCCCAGTATTATTAGCCTGGCATTCAATCCATCCGGCCAGTCAATTATAAGTAACCGCTCCTACCGTATCATCACAACAGAGCTGGAGTGGGTATGACAGTCTTATCACTTCATTCATTCATTCATACGCCAGACCAAATCCGAACACCACTAGTGCCGGCTTTCTAAACCGCTTCCCGGGGGGAAATTGTTCGAAAACAGGAGGTAAAGGGGGGCGGGTGTGTGTATGTGTGTGTGTCTCGAGGCCGTAACAATGCTACTCAGTAGAAGCAACGAACTCCCCCCTGAAAGCCCAATATATATCAGCTTCCGCCCTTCATCGACAACCTCGGGATAGTTTTGAGAATACTTACCGAAACGTCACATACACACACACACACACACACACACACACACACACACACACTCTCACGTACGCCTATCAGCCAGCCAGTCACCCCTTTGAAGGGCTCTCTCACCACCACTACTTCTACTACTCCTCTTCATCCTAATCCACTGGCCAGTAGCGCAGTCAGGAGCAGCGTAGAACAACCGCCGCCGCCAACCTCGCCAGCTCTCTGATCGCGGGGTATAGGTGTGCTGTATTATGATCGCCTAAAATAAGAACCCTGGCTTCACGACTCACTCACCCGGCCGAGGGCGTGTAACTAACTAAACTACCTGAGCCAGCCCGCAGGTGTGAGAAGCCGGGGTACGCACGAGCGGCAACACATACACGGAGAGGACTAACCTACTAAAGTACAAAACTGATTTGCTCAGCTTGGATTACATAGGGAAGGTTTGGACGTTCTTCCTGACTGACGGGGGGGGGGGGGGCGCGCGTGGACCGTCTTGCTGGCCTTTGGGGAGCATGCCCACCACCATGGGGAAGGGGTACCAATCGGAGGGTAACTACTGAGGGGGCGAGGATGATGGCGGGTGGATGGCGGGTTCATACCTCGGTTAGAGAATTCTGGATGGGGATGGTATGGGGTGGGTATATATTTGGGAAGCGCTTAGAAAGAAAGGGATTTGGGAAGAAGGAAGTAAGTAGTCTAACCAACTAACTAACTAGACACTGGGTGGTCGTCCGGGGCCCCTCGGGAGTTGAAGAAGAGTCAACAACGAACCGCATGAGGGGATCACCTACTTTATTCCCGTTTCTTCTCACCTTGTTTGTTATTGTGATACTTTATTAATTATTTTCCCGCCGAGATCTCTGTCCCGGTATCTCGAGGTTCGTCAACCAGTTTACTCGAGCCTCTCACTTGGTAAGTAGGTCAGACAGGTAGGCTGAATAATGACCCTAGGATCATTGGACGACGGGGCTTGTAAGCTGCCAACATGCGATCCCTGTGTCAGCCAGCAAGCACTGAGAGCTTATCGTGCCCCCGTATGCTTTCTGAAAATAGACCTCGTCGACGATATGCGCCTCATCAACGTGGGACGCTGGGCGTTTGTTATTTTATGGGGGATCAATGCGTCCCGGACGGCCCGCATCCGCGCAAGCCTTCCGAAATCCGGTATGGACTAATTTAGATGGAAAATCATGCCCCCCAGATTAGCCAGATTAGGGGTCGTCCTCGTCTCTTAGGGGTCGTCCTCGTCTCGTGGTCGTAGTCGTAGCATGGAGCTGGGGAGGGGGGTGGTGCCTCGTCCGTATGAAGCCAAAGTAAGTAGGTGAAATTCTGGCTGTTTACGAAAAAATGTGCCTGAGTAGACCATCAGGGTTAGATAGTGAGAGAGGAGGACAATTGGGTTCTAGGCAGACCTGCCGACAAGGAGATCTACGCAGTAGTACGAGGCTCTCAAGATCATCGCTATTCGGCCGACTAGCCCGCTTAGCTTGGGCCCTGAGCTGGGCCTGGATGTTGGACTAAGGTCTCGGGCGTCTGACGATCACTTTTAGTCCAACGACTACGCGAAACGGGGAATGCCCGTAACGGGTTTTGCGGGTTATTAGGCGCAGTAGATACCTGTCGTGGAAGGACGGTTAGGTATATAAGTACTGGATCGCGCGCGACGAACGATAAGGCAAATTTTCTTTGTGTGAATACCTCTTGATCATCCAATACCCTCCGACGACGATATTTCATCTTTGGTTTATATATATATATATATATCTCCCTTGAGTAAAGAGTAGTCAAATATGAGTCCTACCGAAGACAGCAAGTCAGGGGCTCCGGCCCTGCCAGACTACATGACACATAACGATGCAGTACTAAGAGACACTGATGCCCAATGGAGATACGGGCAGCCTCCAGACTACACCAAGACGCGCAAGTTCTACATGGAAAGTTCGTTGCCCTCCCACCCCTTTTTTTCATCACAAGGCATATGAGTCTTTGCCGGTCGAAGACCTCGACGAAGAAGAAGAAGAACACACGGCTGACGAACTCTCTCTTTCCTATCAGCCAAGAAATGCAACCACGAGCCAGGCAGCCTGCCGAACCTGGTAGAGAACCTGGTCAAGAACTGGGAGATCGAGGCGTCGTTCAAGATGCGGCTGGAGGACTGGCGGACCATCGACCACGACAGCTACACGTTCGCCATCAACGGGCGGGAGCCGTCGACGGCGCAGCACATGCTCGGCGTCGGCACCTACAACGCCATCATCACGGCGAACCCGTACTACGACCCGACGACGTCCGACTTCGCCAAGAGCCACAAGACCTTCAAGCGCATGATGCCCACCTTCGCCTGGGAGGTGCTCGAGGTCTACTCGGGCCCGCCCGTCGTCGCCTTCAAGTGGCGGCACTGGGGCCAGATGAAGAACGACTATGTCGGGTGGAACACGTAAGTGATGCCTGTCTGCCTGCTTGCTTGCTTGCTTGCTTGCTTGCTTGCTTGCTTGCTTGCCCATCCCATCTCCCTCTATTTTATCTCAAAGAAAGAAAGAGAAAAAAAAAGAAACAAAAAAGCAAAAGCTAATATGCCCTTTTTTTCTTTCGCGTCTCCAGCGCCGGAGAGAAGATCACCGTCAAGGCGACCGACAAGATGATCGACGTCGAGGGCATCACCGTCGCCCACCTCAACGACGCGTTCAAGGTCACCAAGCTCGAGACCTGGTTCGACCCGAACGAGATGTTCCGCCAGATGGACCCGGAGGGACACGCGCTGACCAAGGCGGTGGCCAAGACGGGCAAGGAGGACGAGGGAGAAGGAGGGGCGTCCACGGAGGCGCTCAACGAGCTCGCCGAGGAGATGCAGCGGTGTCCTGTGATGAAATAGTCATAGGGGGGAGCAAGCAGGTGGGGGGAGTGAAGGATCTGTCTGATACGATAGAAAATTTTGTTCTTTGGTTAGCCGCAGCGAGCATTGGCTCTTGCCTGCCTTGCTTTGTACGATAACGATAGATGGATAGATAGATAGCGCCAGTGAGCGTGTAGATATTGTTGTTGTTATTATTGAATTCGTATCTTTTTTCTTCACTGCCAAGACCGAAAGAGTATTATTAGTGAGAGAAAAAGAAGAAGAAAAGAGTCAAAAAAAAAAAAACACTCAAAAATTTCGAACAGACCAGGAGAAAGTCAAAAATATACCATGTTGACTGCATCAGGGGGGAATCGAACCCCCGGCTCGTCGAGATTCAACTCTTGATTGTATGGCAACGACGAATTTTACCACTAAACCACTGATGCTTATGTTGATATTAAAATTGATTGTCAAAAATAACTCATGAGAGCATGGCTCCGGACGCGGCCCCCGTCGATGGCTCAACTGATCTAAAGATTAGCTGCAGAATAGGCCCACGCCAGCACAGAGACTTCCCTTTTCTGTGAAAGGGGGTTTCATATTGCCTTGTCCGACGACGGATTCTCGCGAAGCAGATTGACACACACACGCATCACCAGATCGTTACCACGGCACGCTCGGGAATTACGGAGTGTTGATTTTTTTTCACTAGCCTAACTGTGTGGCAGCTGCTAACGGTCCGCTTGCCAAGTGCCGTTAACCCCCTTTTTTGTAGCTGTACCCACCTAACCTCAAGAGCCCCTGAGCCCCTGAGCCCCTGAATGCAGTCGAGTTCGCCTATCGACGGGGGTCAGGAGTTCGCGTCTTCTGCTAAAATGCGACAACAGAGAGTATGCGATCGCGATTTGGCAGGGCTATCTAGTCTAAGGAGCCACGAATACAATCCAAAGGAGCGCACATTCTTAGCTGTTAGAACCATAGATAGTCTCTTGATGTCGCTTCCGGTTGATCCTTATCTTAACAGTTCTTCTGAATTCATGAAATCTCGTTATATCTCGTAATTGAAAAGAACCCTGAGCGTCCAGCAGACTATGGTATTCATAACGCCGAGGTGTCCCTGATAATCAACAACCGCAGAGTCTACCATGCCGTACCACCTGCCTCGAATTTGCTCAACCAAGAAAAGAGACAGTTCCCAAAGTACCCTTACCCCACCAGCACCTCGAGTTCCGAAGCGGATGCTTCTGTAAAACCATCCGGTACAAACCTATGATACCCGCGTTCTAGGACCGCCCCCTTTCCCTCCCTCACAGTCCTCCTCTTCCTCTTTATCCCCGTTCCCCCCTGGTCCCTCCAACCAACACTAACTGCGGTTTCCCATATCCCTAATCTGCCATTGCGACGACTTCCGAACCGCGCCACGTACCTGGTGGTCATGAACATCGAGCTAGCCCATATCTCCACCACCACGACGACGCCCCCTCGGACGACGACGGCACCCGGAGCGGCGGCGGCGGATATCCAAGGGCCGCTGGCGGACTCCTCGCGGGTATGGACGCCATGGGCCGAGCCCTATGTGCACTGGGACCACGCGGTGTGGCGGAACTCGTTTCTGCGCGGCGAAGCACCGTCGCTGGGGAAGGAGCGTTGATTCTGCGGGTATTGCGGGACGCTAGTAGCGTTCACGCACCAAGGCGGGAAGACGAGTGCGGCGGCGGCAGCAGCAGCAGCAGTAGCGAATGATCGCCATGCCTGGTGCTGCGGTGCTTAGTCAGTCGTCTGATCGATTTCTCCCTGGGCACGGTGATGAACCGAGCGGATCTCGATCTCAAGGAAGGGGGGGATGCGGCCGGTTCGGAACGGGTGACCTGGGCTCGCGATTTTCAGTGCCGTTGGGTCAGGGAGGTAGGCGGGTATGCGCGGGGAGGAAGAGAACAAGAAAGCCGAGAAAATTCTGTATACGGTGTTCGAGAATAAGCCTGATGAATTGAAAAGGAACTGGAGAAGGAACGGTCTGGTGGTGGTGAAGTAGTTGAGGAAGAACCCAGGTTGCGCTGGGCACAACCGCAGGTTGAGTGCGCGGGCTTCGTACGTTGGGATTTTTTCTTCCTCTTTTTACTTTCTCTCCAATGGTATTCTTTGTTCACACAAAGCCTGCTATCGAAGGCTTGTTGTTGGCGCCGGAATTGAGTAGTGTTGATTTGGACGTTCGTGGGCCAGAAGATCTGATAGAAAGTGCGCTCGCCACCAGGCATTTGGCCGTACATAGCCAGCCTAGGCGCTTACTTACTTAACCGAGAAAAGGAAATCGGAAAAGGCAAAAAGTTCGGGTTGGAAAATGAATGTCAGATCTTCCTCGGTCCGAGACCCAGTCCAGAAGAACTCCTCATCAGGAGTTAAAGTGACTCAGGACGTTTCCTCTCCTGAGTTTCTATGAGGAACAACTGCGTTTAGCAAGTCCCTCTAGAGTAATCTCATGAGATGTGTCCAAAGTCAGGCCTTTGAACTTCGTCTTCTAGGGCTTGGGCTGCGATCGGTGCCTGTCCCTGTGCCGCCGCCCTCCTGTTTGCATAGTTCCTCAACAAGTGTACGACAGCAAGTTCGCCCTCCTTCTCGGCTGCATGAATGGCGCCGTCAAACCCTGTTATTCCAGGCACGGCGCTCCTCGCACCTGCATCAAGCAATAGGGATACCGTATCAAGCCGCCCATATAAAGCCGCAATATCCAAAGCGGTCCCAATGCCTTCTCGAAGTCCAAGGCCAGGGTCCAGATGACCGGAAGCAGCATTGATATGGGCTCCGTTTTGAAGGAAGAAGTATGTGAGGCTCACTGATCCCATCGCAGCCGCGTATTGAAGAGCTGTCATGCCGTTCGTTCTTGCAGGCGCTCCATTGACATCGGCTCCTTGATCGATCATAAATTGCGCAAATTCCAAATCAATGACTTCATCAGGATAATCCCAATAATATACCACAAAAGCTTGAAGAGCGGTGCGACCCTGTAGCTCATATGCGGGCGCATTGATATCAGCCCCTCGACGGATAAGCTCACGAGCCAATTCGTGATCGCCCGAGTCGCAGGCTGCTTGGAGTGGCGTTAATGCATTGTGACATTCCCCTATTTGATTAATGTCAGCCCCAGCATCTAGTATCTCTAGTACTAAGGAACGGTCTTCGAAATGCGCAATCAGCATAGGTAGAACTGGCTCCCATGTTTTCTGTACCCATGCTTTCGGTACCCGATGTGAAGGACCGACGAGGGGCGCTCCCAGCTGATGCAGTTTCCTGAACAATGCTAGACTGTCTTTGTGAAACTTGTGTTTGGGGTGTCTAGCGGTCCATAGAGCAGCTTCCAACGTTGTCAGTGTACCACCACCTACCCTACAGTCGGCCCCGTGGTGGAGAAGAAGTTCGACTATAGATAAACGATCCTGTGAACGACTCAGGAGAGCGTCATGCAGCATTGTGTTGCCATCGGCGGACGACGGCTCTGAGTGAATCCTTTCACCGAGTTTCATAAGAGAGTGCACCGTTTGCAAGTTGCAACCAGATCGAATTGCAAACTGCAGCAAGCCCATACCCGCTCTGTTACTGTCAAAAATTGGACCACTTGAACTCAAGACACTCAAGACATCCCATAATTCAGCGTCCGGATAGAATTCTGGATCATTGGGAGTGCCCAGTAACAGTGCAGCCTGCAGTGCTTCATTACCAAACTTGGGCAAGTCAAACCCGTGGTTAAGAAGGCATCTCGCGATATCGACACGTTTTGCAGCTCTGTGGCTCACAAGTGAATAGCGGCCCCGCCTCCTTGGGCGCAAAGCAGCTTCCAGGCTGTTGAACAAGTTGATGTCTGCACCAGCCGAGACTAGGATTTCAAGCATCTCGAGGTCCCTGTTGATTGATGCTCGGATGACTGGATTCCAAACAGCGCCCCAATTTATCATATGATGACAATGCGGACAGCAGTCATGATTAAATTGTGACAGAAACAGGGTATTCGGGTCAACACCAAAGTTGATGAGACAATTCACCACTTCGAGATCGGCTCTTCTGACGGCTTCCGACAACGCGATCTCAAGTAGAACTCGTCTCTCCGTTTCGTGGGTATTTGCTCGTAAGTCGAGATAGTACTTCAGTGTTTCAATTCCTTCGCAAGCCGCGATGGAAATGCCAGGAGCAGTGACCGAGTTTTGTATTCGATCGTTATAGGGTGCTACCAGCTTGTAAAGAGGGTGATCCGACTTTTTGTCTGAATAATATAGAATATCCATAACAAACATTGGACCATCAATAGGGCACCAACCTAACCCTTCTGTGACACCAACTTGACTGCGATGTGTGACACAGGGAGGGATATCTTCTGCCCACGGACCTTCTTTCAAAGTGCATCGACTGGCGCAACGACTGCAGCGAAACTTGACGGCACGTTCTGGTAATTTTCGGCCCCGATGATCTACGGACAGCCCCTTTTCCAGTAGAAATTCAGCGCATTTAAGCTGCTCTGGCTCGGGTACAAGTAATACTATCTCCAGGGCATTGTGATAGAGTCCAAAATGTGTAAGGGTTTCGGCCGCCGAGTCTGCACCATAATCGAGAAAAAGGGTCATCATGTCAATGTCACACTGCATAGCCGCCATATGGAGGGGTTTAACATCGTTAACCCACATCCAATTGGGCGGGCCAGGCACTCTAGACTCGCTTGAAGGAGAATCGGGAGAAGCTCCATGCTCAAGCAAGCGCTTGGCTGTATTCAAAGCTTTTCCAGATCCAATCCATGCCGCTGTTCCCAGGAGCTTACCAGGCGCACGCCTAATCCAGGCTCCCCTGGACACTTTGATGCCGATTTCAACAAGCACACTGAAGGCGCCAGCATGCTTCATCCAATGTATATAGTCCAAGAGTTTTTTCCATAGAACAGACAGTGTCGGGGACTTGATGGAGAAGAAGGCACAGAGCATCCTTAAATCAGCGTATGAACCGATCCAATCAAGTAGTTCCCTTGTGTGCTCAAAATCACTATCCAACGAGTTGGATGCGAAGTAGAAGAATTGGTGAAATAGTTTGAAACCGTCTAGATACGGAGAGATCATCATGGGTTGAGGCTGCACCTGACTCCGAGTGTGGGTGCTGTGTGGCGGGTTAGGTAACTCGGATTGACCGCCCAAAGCTTGGGTAAATGCCGCGTCGGAACCGGATCCACAGGTTGCGGTTCCTTGTTTGGGTTGGAGCAAGTAGGGTATTATGGATTCTGAAGAGGTACTGGCGTGGCCCGGGAGGTGAAATTGCTGTACTAGTCACGTATCATATCATAAGCTTGAGTTGATGAAGGATAGGCTGCTCTACTCACCTAGCTGGTCCAGTGACGAGGTGAACTGCATGAAAGGAGTGCTGATTTGCATGCCTTCGAAGGTACTAGCAACACCATATGACGATAGTCTTCGGG